GAGCTGTGACACCACAGCACTCTACCCAGGGCAACAGCTTAAGACTCTGTCTCAAAAAAAAAAAAAAAAATAGCTGGGAATAACTACTCATACTTATCGTCCCAGGTCCTTGGGAGGCTGAGTTGGGAGGATCACTTGAGTCTAGAAGTTTGAGGTTATAGCAAGCTATGACTTTTTTTTTTTTTTGAGACAGTCTCTCTTGCCCTCGGTAGAGTGCCGTGGCGTCACAGCGCACAGCAACCTCAAACTCTTGGGCTTTAGTGATTCTTTTGCCTTAGCCTCCCAAGTAGCTAGGACTATAGGCACCTACCACAACACTCAGCTGTTTTTTTAGAGATAGGGTCTTGCTCTTCCTCAGGCTGGTCTTGAACCTGTGAGATCAGACAATCCACTCACCTCGGCCTCCCAGAGTGCTAGGATTACAGGCATGAGCCACCACGCCTGGCATGAGGTATGATCTTGCCACTGCACTCCTACCCTCACTCGGGCAACAGAGTGAGATACTGCCTGCCTCAAAAACAAAAAAAAAATGTTCAACCTGAGGATTTGAAGAAGACCTCAAGTATAAACAACACGGACCTGCACCATGGCAGTCTACAACCTGGCTTCCTCACCCAGGAAGGCGCTAAGGCAAGTGGACCTCCCTCCTTCCACTTAGCAGTATGAAGAACCACAACAAGGAGCAAAGCAAAGCGGCATCTTGACTGCCCAAGGAGAAGCCAGAAAAGCCATGCACTGCGCTCATGGCCTAGGGCCCCCCAGGTACCCTTTACCCTTCTTTAGACACAGACTAACCCCCCAGGTTAAACAGGTTCCCCAAGAGTGAGACTGGAAATGTGGTCACGCTGCCAAAAGTGGGTACCCACAGAGCATTTAGAGGCCACAGGTAAGCCTTGTGCTAAGCACAAGGTTTTGAACATGTTTATACACGTCTCAGAAAGGTGCACCTGAGCTTATGCCTCGTGGTTCCCTGAGAGGGATAATAATAAACATGCAATTCAGACTATGATCCATTTGCCGCCATGGGCCAGGGCTGTACATACAGCTTCCGTTCTCTCAGTTATGGAGGAAAAAAAAGATTGGCATAGAGGAGACAAATAGCAGTAAGAAGAAGACAGAGAAACTGAACATCAGTGACAAACCAATGCTCCCCGGTGGGTCCTTCCTGCTCCTGGGAAGAGCACCAAAGAGCAGAGAACTCTCACGGTCAAAACGAGCCTATGAGCCAGGCATGATGGCTCATGTCTGTAATCCCAACACTCTGGGGGGGGCCAAGGCAGATGAATTGCTTGAGTTCACAAGTCCGAGACCAGCCTGAGCAAGACCCTCTCCCTAAAAAAAATAGCTGGGTATTGCAGCAAACACCTGTAGTCCAAGCTACTTAGGAGGCTGAGGTAAGACGATCACGGCACTCCTAGCCAGGGAGACAAAGTGAAGCTCAGTCTCAAAAAAAAGACAGGTCTAATCACATTCCTCTCCATCTACTTTAAGGGAGAGGGCGTATGTGCCACGTTTTTTTTTTTATAGATAAAGTATCACTTTGTGACCCTCAGTAGAGTGCTGTGGTATCACAGCTCACAGCAACCTCAAACTCTTGGGCTCAAGCAATTCTCTTACCTCACCCTCCCAAGTAGTTGAAACTAAAGGCGCCCACCACAAAGCCTGGCTATTTTTAGACATGGAGTCTTACTCTAGCTCAGGCTGGTCTGGAACCTGTGAGTTCAGGCAATCTACCCACCTCCGCCTCCCAGAGTGCTAGGATTACAAGAGTGGGCCATCACGCCTGGCCTGTATGTGCCACATTGAAAAAAAAAATTTTTTTTTTTGAGCCAGGGTATTACTATGTTTTCCAGGCTGGTCTCAAACTCCTGGGCTCCAGCTATTCTCCCACAGCAGCCCCCAAGTAGCTGGGATTTCAGGCATCACCACCACACATGGCCCATGTATCACATTTTTAATTTAATTTTTTTTGGCTGGGGTTGGGTTTGAACCCACTACCTCCAGCATATGGGGCTGGTGCCCTACCCTTTTGAGCCACAGGTGCCACCCATATCACATTTTTTAAAACAGCCACCAAAATGATTTGACTTCCTAACTTTTTTTTTCTTGCATTTTTTGGGGGGGTTGGCCGGGGCTGGGTTTAAACCCGCCACCTCCGGTTTATGGGGCCGGCGAACCTACTCCTTGAGCCATAGGTGCCGCCCTGACTTCCTGACTTTTTGATACATAAAAAGGAAGATGGATCTTATACAACTGAAATTAAGTTAGGACTACTTACATCTCCCTGAACATGAGACAACTGTGTCACACCTGCAAGGGCTACTGTGAGGACAGAAAAAGTAAAACAGCAAGGCTCTACTGGGGGGGGGAGCCCTGCAAATAAACCAGGAGTGTGGTGCCCTCCCACCGATGCTGTGGGCCATCCCCCACGTGGGGGCAATCCTCTGACCAGCTGCCGCGCACCTTTGGCATGAAAGGTCCAGCCCCTCCGCCAGTACTCCTGCAGCTGGACCCGCTCCTGCTGCCCCAGGCTGCACACCTTGCTGTAGAACTGCCGCTCGATGTGCACATAGGCTGCCGGGATGGCACCAGCCACCCCCTTGGCTCCAAAGAAGCCATTCACCTCTGGCGAGGCCAGCAGGATCTGGTACTCAGCCCGTGTGCCCAAAACCAAGTCCACGTAGGCCTGGGTCAGATTGAAGTAACCAGTGGTGAGGTAGACCTTAGCACCTCGTTCGGCCTCAGTCAATAGTGTCTCAGTGACAATCTCGTCAATTTGGATCTCAAAGGGCTTCATCTGAATCAGTGGATAAATCCAGGTATCGGGGGCTGGTCTCCGATCACCAGCAGCTGCTGCATCCTCCTGGGTCAAAAGAGAGTCACTGTGGAAGGTCTGGGCATGGAGCATTTGCTGGCGAGTCCTGGCTGAGTTGATCACATCCATAACTCTCTTATTAGCTGCCTTGCAATACGCAGCCCGGTCACCTGGAGGGAGACATGAGAAAGAAGAACAAGAGGAAGAGAAATGAGGGTCTGGACTCTGCCCAGCTCAGGATGCAGCACGTGACAGGCAAGTGCAGACGCTACAACTGATCATTTGCTGAGTGTGCATCCAATAAGCACGTGCACAAAGCCCCGAGTGAGGCTCCTCTGTGGGTGCAGCCACCCAAGACAAGGAGCTTGTCTGCAGGAGCCTGCATGTAATTCCAAATACAAAAAGATCAAAAATCAGGCAAGACAGACTGGGCACAGGGGCTCATTCCTGTAATCCCAGCATTTTGGGAGGCTGGGGGGAAAAGATCACTTGAGGCCTGGCATTTGAGACCAGCCTAGACAATACAGTGAGACCTCATCTCTACAAAAAAATTTAAAAATCAGGCTCAGCACCTGTAGTTCAAGCAGCTAGAGCGCCAAAGACATACACCAGAGCTGGCAGGTTCGAATCCAGCCTGGGCCTGTCAAACAACAATAACAACTACAACCAAAAAACGGCAGGGCATTGTGGTCCCAGCTACTTGGAAGGCTGAGGCAAGAGAATCATTTAAGCCCAGGAGTTAGAGGTTGCTGTGAGCTGTGATGCCAGGGCAACAGCTTGAGCCTCTGTCTCCAAAAAAAATAAATAAATAAAATAAAATAATTTAAAAATCAGCCAAACATGGTAGTATACACCTATAGTCCCAGCTACTCAGGAGGCTGAGGCAGGAGGATCAGTAGTTTGAGGCTAAAGTGAGCTATGACTGCACCACTGTTCTCCATCCTGGGCAACAGAGTGAGATTCATTCTCTTTAAAGAAAAAAAACAGGGGCTCAGCACCTGTGGCTCAAGCGGCTAAGGTGCCAGCCACATACACCTAAGGTGGTGGGTTCGAATCCCCAGCCCGGGCCCGCCAAACAGCGATGGCTGCAACCAAAAAATGGCCAGGCGGCTCGGTGCCTATAGCTCAACCAGCTAAGGCGCCAG